TCACCCACCAAAATATTGACTCAAATCCTGCAGCCATTTGTTTTCAAGCTTTAAATTGATCTGGTATTCCCCGTGGGACTCCAATTGCATCTAAATAGATGTGAGAGTCAAAAGACCCATAAGGGACTTCTCTTGCTTTACAATGTCTTATTTTTCCTCTCTCTGGTTGATGAAATGCCAGGGTGAAAAGGACAGCCAATTGGACTAAAGTACAAGTGCCACTCCAGTTTTTCAGCAGAGTGCCCAGTAAAGGTCCACCACGATACCACCACACGTCTGCTCAGGAATGAGCAAGGGACTGACTGATTGATGTGCTCTTGAAAATTCTTAAGCTGACTGAATCCCTTCAGGTCTCCAAGGAACTCTAAGTTTCCTCCCTGGCATGAAAGACACAAAGTGAATTTAGTGTGGGGAGATGGAAGCTTGATGGCCCTCATGGGCTGATCCTCAGGGTGCCAGACTTTGGGATATAGCAGAGAGAGCTTGGCACGACTTATTACTCCAGGCTGTAGAATCCTGGAAAAGAGCTACCATGCAGCCCATGCCTGGTCAACTGGGAGGACCACCTCAGTGGAAAGGGGACAATCTGGGCCTCCAGGCTGCCATGTGCACAAGCAAAACAATTGCTTTTGTTTAACTTGCGGATGGAATATTTGATCCATTTCAACCAGGCGTTTACATCTTGGTATCCTGTCTTTATTGCCAAAGTTTGTTTTAAGTCTTTAACTTCTATGATCCTCTAGTAAAATGAATGTATGATTTTAAGAAATTACAAAAACCTGTTGAGGCAGTCCATCCTTGCTTTTTAGTGGTCCACAGAACGTTGGACCAACTACAGCATAAAAGCTCTACATTGAGGGGCAAGATTCCTGGTTGACACTGGAGACTTTATCAAAATTTCCCTGGATTAAATGGTCCTAATTTACTAGTGCCCAGTCTGAGGAGAGTCAGGAGGGACAGAGGTACTTTTCTGAAGTAGAGAGCTGTCTTTGACTTGACAAGTCCCTACAGGGTATAACAAGGCAAGCATTAAATGCAATGGTTTGAGGTAAAATTGGCTTGGTTATGTTAATAACTAGATGGTCAGCAATAGAACAAGCAAAGGAGAAAGAGTAATAGAATAGATGAAAGAGTTAAATTCTTCCTAGCTTTAGTTTGGTAGGGTTTTCCCAGGACTATGGCCCATGATGCTGGAGAGGGTGGTGCTTTCTTGACTTGGGTGTGATAAGCCCATCTTTTTTTTGCTGTATGAACAGCAGTCTCAGTGGTTAGCAGCACAAGGTAGGGTCCTACCTAGGTTGGCTTAAGTTTCCTTTTTTTCACCCTTTGATGAGAATGTGATCTTCAGCCTGGTGCTGGTTTACCGGAAATTCTAGGGGTGGTACACGTGCTAAAAGACTTTTAGTTTTGAGGGAAAGGAAAGTGGAAGATAAACCAAGTACATAATTTTTAAGAAATTGACCTTCTGTTTTAAATGTGGGGACATCAGTAGTGGACTTTATAGTCCTTGGTGCCTTTCTACTGAGAAATTTCCTTTAGCACCTATTTTTATTAGTTTTCAGACCAAAGAAGTCAAACACCATTTCATATTTGACAACACTTCCTGTATGATTTTTATACCAGATAAGCTAAATTTCACCTTTATATTAGTGTGTTATTAATGTTAAACTTAGTTTTTTTTTTTTTTTTTTGAGGCGGAGTCTCGCTCTGTCGCCCAGGCTGGAGTGCAGTGGCCAGATCTCGGCTCACTGCAAGCTCCGCCTCCCGGATTTACGCCATTCTCCTGCCTCAGCCTCCCGAGTAGCTGGGACTACAGGCGCCCGCCACCTCGCCCGGCTAGCTTTTTGTATTTTTTAGTAGAGACGGGGTTTCACTGTGTTAGCCAGGATGGTCTCGATCTCCTGACCTCGTGATCCGCCCGTCTCGGCCTCCCAAAGTGCTGGGATTACAGGCTTGAGCCACTGCGCCCGGCCTAAACTTAGTTTTAATAAAACTTTGTAGACATATTTATTCAAATTTTAATGTCAGGCCATAAGCTAAGATTTTTATAGACTCTTTTTAACGTTTTATAATCTTGTTAAAGGCCAGGTTAGTGCTTTAAGAAAAACCCGTTGTGTTTTTATTTTAATGTTCAGTTCACAGAAAAACTGGATGATACCCCTTTAACTTTAGCTAGCATGTTTACACACGGAATTTTTTTTACAATTAATGTTTTAAAACTTGCTTAAACCTTCAAAACACATTTTTAAAAACCTTTTAATGTAGGCAAAAATTTACTTTCTTATGCCTCCTTATAATTCTTTTACCAAAGGTATATTTTACTTTCCTTATACACCTTGCACATAAACTATTTTTTCAATAGTTTTACATTCAGGAGGCCTAGTTACTTTTAAATTACACAACATTTCTTGAATAATTTTTTTTATAATATTCTTTTTTCTCTTTAATGACTTTCGCAGACAATTCTTCTACCTGCCTCAACTTTCAGACAAACATTTCTTTCTTAAACAACCAGTTAATTTATTTCAGGACAAGAATTTACCCTATAACATTCTTTTTACATAAATTCTGCCCCCCTTCCCCCCCTTTTATTTTTGAAGATAAACATTCTTTTCCAAAGTGAACTTCCTTTATGTCTGTCAACTAGACTGTCTAAGGCCACAAGATTAGAAGTTACTATAATACATGTTACACTGTTAACTTTTAGCAAACTTTATTTTTATTGAAAACCTTGTAAGTTTGGGATTTCAATTATCCTTTGCTCTTTGCTATTAATAAGACCTTGTTTAGTCCAAATTAATTTAGAATTGGTATAGATGGCTTTTTTTTTTTCCTTCAGTTACCTGGGAGGAACCATCTATCATCCTGTCCTGAAGGGAGTTCCTCTTAGGTCTGGTTGGACCTTTGTATGGTAATTAAGATTTAGATCCCCTGTTAGAAAACCTGCTGGGTTAAGGGAATTCTCAGTGGTTAATGTTAAATCATCTTTTTTTTTTTTTTTTTTTCCCTTAGGATACTTCTGAACTGGTGAGGTGTACTCACAATGAGGTTTCCTCTAAAAGTTATTTTTATACTTTCTTCTGTTAGCAAAGCAGTTGCCACTACAAATAGAATGCATTTGGGCCATCTGTGGGTTACTGGGTTAAATATTTTTGATAGGAAGACTACAGGTTGTCAGTGGCCTCAGTGCTTTTGGGCTATGCCCTTGTTTACACTTACAACAAGGTTGTACTGGAGTGTTGTAGGGTCATGGAGAAGACCTTCAATTGTCAAATATAGGTTTTAAATTTACCCTGGCTTTTAAAGGAATAGGGTACACTTTTTTTTTTTAAACTACTTGTGTATTTCTCTCTTTCTTTTCTTTCTTTGACTTTCTGTCTCTCTCTCTTTTTGACTTTCCTTTTGCCTCTGTCTCTGTCTCTGTCTCTCTCTTTTTCTTCTTGACTCCCTCTTTGTCTCTCTGTCTCTTCCTCTCTCTCTTTGCCTCTTTTCCTCTCTCTCTTTCTGCTGGTCTTTCCCTGCCTCTGCCAGTCACTTATGTTGCTGTTCTCTCAACAACTGTGGGGCCAGGGGCAGGGAGTCTAAAACCAGCTGTAACCAAGTGTCTATGTACAGGAACTGGTCTGGGTGCCCCGGCTTACAGGTTACCTTGTGCCATACCTTTGAAATGAGGTACCTGTCCAGGCTTCCTTCTGATGGCCAACCCACCTCTAATGCTGGCCAGTCTATTTCACACAAAGTTTTAAGTTTTTCTGGTATCACAGTAACACCGTAATCTCACTTAAATTCTTTCTTGAAATTTTTCAACATAGTTCCTAGTGGGGTGGGCTTACTTTGTGCCTGACCCATGCTTCCTCAAGACAAAACATCATGCTCACAGCACACGCACACCACAAAACAAAGAACAGGTACAAAGGGCACACACACACTTTTACAGTTTACACCTAACCAGAATCAAAACCAAAATCAGAGTATCAAGAAATCCAAGCCAGGTCAAAACCAAAACCAAAGTATCAAGCAATCCAAGTCAAGTCAAAAACAAAAACCAAAGTGCTGGTACAGGCACATCGTGGGTGATTAGGCCATGCTTCCACACACATGGAGTGGGCAAGTTCCAAAGACTAGTCTTACCAAGTTTCAGATGTCCAGACTTCAAACGCCACTTCCTTCCAGGTGTTCAGCCACTGCGTTGATCCTCCACAGGGGTCTGCCATGCGTTGCTCTGGTGAGGTGTTCCACTGGGGCAATTGCCTACCCAGGAGCACTCTCAGGATCCATGTCGCTCAAGCTCGCCAGAGTCCCCCACAGGGATGCTCCACAGGTAGGCCTAAGCTACCTAAGGGGCTGCCTCAACTGTCTGTTAATCACCTCACTTCCCGGTCAGGGAACCAAGAAAGGTAGCAGGACAAACCACAGACAAAACCCCTCAGACACTGAGTTAAAGAAGGAAGGGCTTTATTTGGATGGGAGCTTCAGCAAGACTCATGTCTCCAAAAACTGAGCTCCCTGAGTGAGCAATTCCTGTCCCTTTTAAGGGCTTACAACTCTAAGGGGGTCTGCGTGAGAGGGTCGTGATCGATTGAGCAAGCAGGAGGTATGTGACTGGGGGCTGCATGCACTGGTAATTAGAACGGAACAGAACAGGACAGAGATTTTCACAATGCTTTTCCATACAATGTCTGGAAGCTATAGATAACATAACCGGTTAGGTCAGGGGTTGATCTTTAACCAGGCCCAGGGTGTAGGGTCAGGCTGTCTGCCTGTGGATTTCATTTCTGCCTTTTAGTTTTTACTTCTTCTTTCTTTGGAGGCAGAAATTGGGCATAAGACAGGGGTAGTCCCCTCCTTTATGAGCACAAAACACAGATGGGCCTCTTCTCAACCTAGGTCAGGATCATACTGACCCTAGACCTGTAGTCACCTTGTTTTTCTATTTTGATAGATGTTAAGGCTCAGAGCATCTTAAGCTAACACTTGGTCTTAGTATATCTTCTGTTCTCTTTGATTTGTCTTAGGAATGTTCCTTAGCCAGAGGTTTATGTGAGTGTTGTTTTTTTTTTTTTGGGGTTGATTTCAGCTATTTGAACAATTGATTTAAACTACTGTGTGAACCTCTTCTCACGAATGGTCAAATAGCCCATAGTAGAATCAGGTTCTTCCAAATTTGAAATATTTGCTTCCTTTAAAATCTCTAGCATAATTCTCATTTTTGGTCTGCAGGGAATGGTTCCTAGAGTTCTCAGCTCAGCTGTCTATCAGAGACAGATGATATGCCATGAGTTCAAGGAGTCTCTGACTGTTGCCTCTTTTAATTATTTCTCTGCAATGGAAAGTAAAAAGTCTATTATTAGGTGACAACTGATTCAGGTAATCAATCAGTTGGATGCTAAACTATCCCATACACAACAGGAAACTTACATGGTCTCAACTTATCCAATCACAAATTCCCAATTAATTATAAAAGGAAAACTAGTAACTCTATAGTGGAGAAACCTGGCAGACAGCACCTTAATTGAGTGATCAAAGTTAACATCACCAATAATGGAACTGGGTGGAGAAAACTCAAACGTTTTTTTCTCTGCTCTCACACTACAACAACACGGAATATTTCTGTGACCAGATGTGTGGGTTCCCCCTCTCCCTGCCACACCAAGCATTTCTGTAGCAGACACCAGCTGAATATCCTCTAATTCAATTCAATTCATTTCTGACAGTATCTCCCTGGAGATCCCATGATTGAGGACTCAGTCTCCAAGACAGCCTACCACTCCCCACTTCAAATGCCAATCTCAAGTCCTAGGTTGTTTTACCTGTGCTTCTGACAATTGGCTATAAATTGGGGTCTTGCAACTGCCTCCTCAGGTTTGATTAATTTGCTAGAGCAGCTCACATAACTCAGGGAAACATTTACATTTACTAGTTCACCATAAAAGATATTACAAAGGGCACAGATAAAGAGATGCATAGGCTGAGGCATGGAAGGGGGTGTGGGTGCCCTCCCCAAGTGAGCCATCCTCCAGGAGTCTTTATGGTTTTGGCTACCTGAAAGCTCTCTGAACCCAGTCCTTTTGGGTTTTTATGGGAGCTTCATAATATAGGCACAATTGGTTAAATCATTGGCCTTTGATGATCAACTTAACTTTCCTTTACCCTCCTCAGAGGTTGGGGGCAGGCTGGGCTGAAAGTCTCAACCTCCTAATCCTGCCTTGGTTTTTGTAGTGACCAGTGCCCGTCCTGAAGCTACCTAGAAGCTGCCAACCATCAGTCAATCATTAGCATACAAAAATACTTTGGGGATTCTAAGGATTTTAGTAGTTATATGCGTTGGAGACCAAATAAAGCATATATTTTATAATATCACAGTGACAAATAGTCATCAAGTGATGAGAAATACTGCTAAGAACAACATGACGTTCATAGAGTATTCCAGCCAAAGATACACAACCTTAATGAAACCATGAAGAAAGCTCAAATAAATCTAGAGGGAGGGGTGGAGCAAAATGGCTGAATATAATCCTCCACCGATCATTTTCCAAACAGGAACACCAAATTTGACAACTATTGACACAAAAAACACTTTCATAAAAAACTAAAATCAGGTAAGCAATCAATACCTAGTTTTAACTTCATATCACTGAAAGAGCCACTGAAGGGGGTAGGAAAAGCAGTATTCAATCACTGATATCACCCCTCCCCAGTCTCCTGGCAGTAGCTTTGTGGCAAGGAGAGAGAATCTGTGCTCTTAGGGGAGGGAAAGCACATTGAATTCAGTGTTGTCCTGCCACAGTAGAAAGCAAAACTGGGCTGAACTCAGCTGAAGCCTACCTATGGAGGGGACATTTAGACCAGCCCTAGCCAGAGGGGAATTGCCCATCCCAGCAGTTGGAATCTAGTTCCAGCAAGCCCTGCCACTGTTGGCAAAAGTGCTCTGGGACTGTAAATAAACGTGAAGGGCAGTCTGAGTCATTGGGACTGCAGTTTCTAGGCAGGTCATAGTGCTGAGCTGGACTTGGAGCTAGCAGACTTGGAGGGCATACAACCTACTGGGACACCAGCCAGGGTGGCTAACAGAGTGCTTACATCTCTTCTCCCCTAACCCCAGGTAGCACAGTTCTCAGCAAAGAAAGTGAGTCCTTTCTTCTGCTTGAGGAGAGGAGAAAGAAGAGTAAAGAGGACTTTGTCTTGCATTTTGGACACCAGTTCAGTCCTAGCAAAATAGGACATTGAGCAGAGTTGCGAGGCCCCCATTCTAAGCCCTATCTCCTAGATGACATTGCCAGATGAAACCCTGGGCCAGAAGGGAACCTTAAGCCTTGAAAAGAAAGACCCAGTCCTGGCAGGATTCATCTTCTGCTGACTAAAGAGTCCTTGCACCCTGAATAACCAGCAGTGATAACTAGGGAGTATGCCATGTGCCTTGGGCTCTGAGACATGCTGGCTTCCATGGTGACCCAGCACATTCCCAGCTGTGGTGGCTACAGTGAAAGACTCATTCTGTTTGAGAAAAGCAGAAGGAAAAGTAAAGTGGACTTTGTCTTGCACCCTAGATACCAGCTCAACCACAAAGGAGTAAGAAGCAGGCTTTTGGGGTCCCTGCATCTAGGCCTAGGCTCCTGGACAGCATTTATGCACCTTCCCTGGGCCAGAGGGAAGCCCACTGACCTAAAGGGTGAGTCCCAGGCCAGGTAGCATTCATCACAGGTTAACCAAAGATAACCCTTGGGCCTTAAGGGGACATGGGTGGTAGTCTCCTCCAATCAGTTGCAGGCTTTAAGAGAAAAAGACAGAGGTACATCAAAGAAGAGAGAATTCTGGTAGCAGACTGCCTTTGGACTCTAATTATTCCTTGCCACTCTTCCCTGAGTCTCTAGCCTGCTTGCCTACCCTGCAGATTTTGGAGGTAATAACCCCCACAACTGTGTAGGCCAATGCCTCACAATAAATCTTTCTCTCTCTCGACACAGACACAGACACACACACACACACACACACACACACACACACACACACACACACACCTATTGCTTTTGTTTCTAGAGAAACCTGACTTACATAGTTCTCTCAACAGGAATAGCCTTGCCAGCAAGACAAATGGACATGCCCAGTGCTTAGTTGGGCTTACCTTGGTGATTCCTCTTCTAGTCTACTTCCATGGCCAATCAGTATCTCCCTCTCCTTTATCTGGATACATTCATTCATCAACTGTGTTCATATAGTCAATAAGGAATAGTCAACTCTTGCTTACTTGTCTTGGCAGGAACTCTGTCTTTTGAGTGACTTTGCCTATAAATTGATTAAATGTAAGCACATAGTTTACCTCTTCAAGGACAATCTTATTTACCCAATATTCAAATTCTTGTGAGACCATCACTGCAGCACTCTGTACTAATGACAGTAGAAACTAAATTAATGTTTTACTTACAGCTGCATTTGAGGTTGATATACCAGACATTTCCTAGACATCAATGGCTAGTCCAATTGTGTAAGATGATGTTTGGGAAATCTCTTAAGCATTGTTTTTCCTTGTAATTATTTCACTTGAGCTTAGGTGTCCTGCTGTTGTATTATTTCCATGTGCCTGCATTTGCATATTTCCATTGTGATAAACATCTGCACTCATCTTTACTTTCTTTCCTCCTGTCTTAGAAAATGAAGTGTCCCTCCTACTGCTCAACCCACTGCCATTTGCCTTTTATCTTTTCCCCACCTCAAGACTGAAATGATCTTTATTGAAATAGTATATTAAAATTGCCAAATTCATTGGAGTCTTGTCAATCTTTATCTTACCAAATCTCTTTTCATTTCTGATTGTTGAACAAGCACTTCTCAGAGCTCTATCCTTTCTGCTCCTGGCTTCCCTGCCATTATTTATTCTAATTCTAACCACATATGCCTATAAGCCCTGGACAATTTTATTATTTTCCTTGATAGGCTCCTCCTCTTTTGCTGCCAAATCATTAATCATGATTTGTTTCTGTCTTCAGGCACTGCTTTTCTTTCTTTGTCTCCTCATGTCAGATGACCACTAACATGGTTTTTATTTTATTTTTTTGGGTGGGGGGAGACCGTATTATTATGGATTTGAGTTTTATTATTACTCAAATCCATTTTCCTGAGCATTCGAGGATCGGAGTTTTTAAGGACAACTTGGTGTGTGACAGGAAGCCAGTGAACCAGGAGTGCTGATTGGTCAGGTTAGAAATGAAATCACAGGAAGTTGAAGCTGTCTTCTTGCACGGAGACAGTTCCTGGTTGGGGGCCAGAAGATCACATGAGCCAGTTTATCAATCAATCTGGGTGGTGCCAGCTGATCCATCAATGGCAGGGTCTGCAAAAAAACCACAGGCACTGATCTTAGGAGCAGTTTAGGGAGCGTCAGAGTCTTGTATCCTCCAGCTGCATGACTCCTAAATAATAACTTCTAATCTTGTGGCTAAATTTGATAATCCTACAAAGGCAGTCTAGTCCCGAGGCAAGAAGGGGGTTTGTTTTGGGAAAGTGCTGTTACCATCTTCGTTTTAAACTATAAACTAAGTTCCTCCCAAAGTCAGTTCCACCTATGCCCAGGAATGAACAAGGACAGCTTAGAGATTAGAAGCAAGATGGAGTTGGTTAGGTTAGGTCTCTTTCACTGTCTAAGTTATAATTTTGCAACGGCCATTTCAATCCCGCCCTGTGGGTTTTATAACACTTTAACCTCAAGGTGTTTGCTAAAGAAGATGAAAAAAGGGCAAAGATTGCCCTAACTTCTTCCTGCTGATCAGGGGCATAGTGGTGGTAGGCGTTGACCCCAAGGTAAGAGGAGTGGAACCTCTTTGCAACTGTCTGAGCACACTCACACAGGCCTGGCTGTGGTTCCAAGGCTTGCACGGCAAAAACGTTAGTATTGTCACCTATAGTTTTAGGACCACATTTAAGGCAGGTGCATACCATAGGATAAATAATGGGTATGAGGGTAAGGAGTGGAATTTCTAGGTTTAAAGTAAAGATTTGAAAGCATTAGTTAGGGGACTTTTAGCCCACAAAGAATTTAGGATTTATTCCAAACTGCAGGAAAAGAAAAGAAAAGAAAAGAAAAGAAAAGAAAAGAAAAAAAAAGAATAGCTAACAATGTATATTATAATCTTTTTTTGAAGCACAATTTTTCTCTCTCCAGTCCTCGTTTTTATTAAAAACAAGTCATGATAGGATTGATTCATTTGCAAAGCAAACTTCAGTCTTATACTTGGCCTGATTATTTGCATAAAGTGCAGCAAGAATAATTATTTTTCACATAAGCTCATTAATATTGGCTTTGCTGAAACTTTGTTCTATAAGGAATCTCAGGTTGTACTTTTTTTTTTTTTGAGATGGAGTCTTTCTCTGTCAACCAGGCTGGAGTGCAGTGGCATGATCTCAGCTCACCGCAACCTCCACCTCCCAGTTTCAAGCGATTCTCCTGTCTCAGCCTCCTGAGTAGCTGAGATTACAGGTGTGCGCCACCAAGCCTGGTTAATTTTTGTATTTTTGTTTTAGTAGAGATAGGGTTGCACCATATTGGTCAGGCTGGTCTCGATCTCCTGACCTCAGGTGATCCACCCACCTCGGCCTCCCAAAGTGCTGGGATTACAAGCAAAAGCCACCATGCCTGACCAAAAAAAAAAAAAGTACTTTTTAAAAGCCTTGAAGCCCAGCTACAGACTTATCTATGCCTGAAAATGCCTGTGAACTCCTCACTTTAAGGTCCCAAGATAACCTGGGCCTTCTGGGCCTATCAGAAAGCGACGTTCTTCACTTATCACTGGTCAGGAACCCTGTAGAGGGACTGCGTAGACAAGGCATGAGGCCAGTTTTTCTGAGGGGCTTTTGTTGGCTCTATAAGTCCACTTTGATTCCTTAAAGAATGAATAACATTTTAGTGAAAGCCTTGCTAAAATAACCAGTTTCTCCAATTGTGTCCTGTAAGTAAAGAAGACAGATTCTTATTGCACTTATGCAAATAATTATACTGCCATAAGTTGACAATACTCACAGATAGTTTCTAAATCCTGGAAAAATCCGATAGAGAGAAAGCGATATGCTCCAAATTTTGTTCCCAGGAGTACACTTTACTCACTTGTTAAAAGTTGCAAATAGGTCAAAAGAAATAAGTTCTCTTGACTCTGAAAACAAAAGGATTAGCAATGTTTAAAACATCAGCTCTCCATGACAGTCCTAGAAGTTCCATTTATTTCCTCTATTCTAACAGCACAATTTTTAAAGTTATCAGAGACCTGTACTTAGGGTCCTATATCTGATTATAAACTACCTTTTGAAAAGGACTAAAGCAAGACAAAATGTGGATGACAAAAGTTTTAGGACAGCCACTATGAAAGCTACAATTGACTAAGAATTTTGGTTACTTCTGTGACATACAACAAATTTACATAACTATAGCTGTTAATAACATACACTAAATTATATCAAAATTATAGAAGTTTCCCATAATTTTGGAACATATTCTAATACCATATTTATACAAATACAGTCCAAATAAAGCCAAACATCATTTCATATTTGACAATGCTTCCTGTACAATTTTTATACTAATAAGCCAAACATACCATTTTTGAACTTCGGGGGACCTAATGTCTAAAGGATTAATTAGGTCAGAAAATGACACACTTTATAATTTGATTTTAGAAAATCTGTCAACTATTGAAGGTTTACAACACTGAATATCACAAAATAGAATAACAGGTTATTCATTTATCCAAAGTGGTAACTCAAAAATTTTTTCTTAAAAGGCAAAAAGCTTTACTCTGATAGAAGAGACTTAGCTTTCCAAACAAGACCCAATGAAGACAGAATGAGGCCAACTAAATGTGTCTCTTCTCTCTCTTCCTCTTTTTTCCTCTGCCATTTACCCAAAGGGGCAAACAAAAACCTTTCATTACCTTTTAATACTACATAACGATCTTTTTCAAAAGAAAAAACAAATTTTGTGTTTGCTTTAGTGCATCTTTAATGTTAAACTAGTTTCTAAATAAAATTTTGTAACTCTATGCATTTTTAATTAGTTTGACCACTGGGTGCAGTGGTTCACACCTTTAATCCCAGCACTTTGGGAGGCCAAGGCAGGTGGATCATCTGAGGTCGGGAGTTCCAGACCAGCCTGACCAACATGGAGAAACCCCATCTCTATTAAAGATACAAAATTAGCTGGGCATGGTGGTGCATGACTGTAATTCCAGCTATTTGGGAGGCTGAGGCAGGAAAATTGCTTGAACCCAGGAGGCAAAGGTTGAAATGAGCCGAGATCATGACACTGCACTCCAGTCTGGTGACAGAGTGAGACTCCCATCTCAAAAAAAAAAAAAAAAAAAAAAAAAAAAAATTAGTTTGACTGTAAGGTAAGATTTTCATAAAGTTTTTAGAACCCTTTATAAATTTCTGTTACACAGTAGAGCAATTTTCTAAGAAAACCCTGTTATTCAGACACATGGGCCCAGATTCTGGCCTTACATTAATGTGCTTTTACTTTAATGTTCAATCTATGAAAAAAATTAAATAATCCCCTTTAAATCTTAGCCGAATTGCTCATATCCACCAAACTTTCTTTCCAAGACCAACCCTTCACAAACCCTTTTCACCCTGCTTAAACCTTCAGTTTTGTTCCATTATTCTGTTAGTTTAAGACAATATTTAAAACCCTCTGTACTAGACAAAATTACATTTTAACAAAAGCCATATTTCCATGCCTTCTTATAATCTTTTACCAAAAACACATTCTACTTTCCTTATGCACCTTGTATGTAAAATTATCTCTCTAGTGGTCTCAATTACATATTACAATGTTAACTTTTGGCAACTTTTATTTTTGGGGAAAGCCTGATAAGTAAGCTATTTTAATTATGTTCTAGGTGTGGAGCCTAGGATGTCAGACAGAAATGAAGGTAAGGTTTGTCCCTTTCCAGCATAGCCAGGGGGCATGGCTAACTCCACATGTCCTCAGGTCTCATCTAGAATCTAATGCTCTAAAGTAGGTAAATGAAATAATTTCAGAAGTCAAAGAAGCACCTAGCAAATCTGATATCTGACCTTAATTTAGACCAAATGTCTACATTTGGAAGACATTTTCATTTTGTCAATAATCTTTAAAACTGTCTTTTTTTCCAAAAGATTACTAAAGTCACATGAACAAAAAGGCATTAAAGTTTCTATTTTTCTGACAAAATATTTGACTTAAGTGCTTATTTTTCTAAGACAATTAATCAGAGCTCCTTTTATATAAACACCACACACATAACACATATAAATACATAGAAAGAGAGAGATTCAGCACTCGTAAGACTTTTCATTTACCAGTTTCTTTCTTTCTTTCTTTTTTTTTTTTGAGACTGAGTTTCACTCTTGCTGTCCAGGCTGGAGTGTAAAGGTGCAATCTTGGCTCACCACAACCTCTGCCTCCCGGGTTCAAGTGATTCTCCTGCATCAGTCTCCTGAGTAGCTGGGATTACAGGCATGTGCCACCATGCCTGGCTAATTTTGTATTTTCAGTAGAGACAGGGTTTCTCCATGTTGGTCAGGCTGGTCTTGAGCTCCTGACCTCAGGTGATCCATCTGCCTTGGCCTCCCAAAGTGCTGGGATTACAGGTGTAAGTCACCGCACCTAGCCCATTTAGTAGTTTCTTAATTGAATTACTGGCTTCAGGGTGGAGCCCTTGGAGGAACAGGGTGAGGAAAGTATGTAGTTCCTAGGGTCCAATAAGCAGGTACAGCTGGAAGGCAAAGACAGATCCCCAAAATTAAGGGTGCCATTTTGTGTTGGATCCTGGATCCCCTAAAAGGAGGGAAATAGTATGGGAGAAAATAGTGCAGTGCTTCTACCATGCATTTCATTTCAAGGCAACCCAAAGCCAAACAGCCCATTTTGTGATCAGCTCATCCTCCACTGGAGTCTCTTTCAGTGGGGATTGGGGATGTTTCCATATATTTTAGGTGGCCAAGAGCATGCTTCTCTAATTGAAACATCAAACAGCTGAGTATCCCCCATAAATGCCATTAGCCATCCCCACAGGTATATTTCCTACCTAGTTATTACACACCAAGTTTCCCTTATAATGTGAAGTAATTTCTGATACCCACAAAAGTCAAAAGCATCAGTTAACACAATGCAAAACAGAACAGAGTCTTAGATTTTGAGAGGGATCTATTCTCATTCAATTCTTGGGCTTCTGTGAGGAAAACAGAGGTTTTTGCCAGAATGGGGCCTCCTCTGCTTTTCCCCAGGTGTCCCAGGGTTAGATTTTATCTTAGGTTCTGTCACGTGGGTATCAAGAGTGGCAAGAAGACAAAATGGAGAACAAT